GGCTTCTGGTGCTCGTCTCCGACACGGGGATAGGGAAACCCAAAAGATGCCTTTTGGGGGCATCGCCAGTGCCTGGGGTGCTTGCCTGGGGACCAACCCCCCGGTGTCATTGCTCCACCTCAAGCTTTACCTGGTTGGGACTCGCTCAGTGCTTGCTGAAGCTCGTTAGCCACCACCAAAGCCAGCCAGAGCCTCCAGCACCAGGAACTCCCACCCGGGACCACCAATTTTCACGCTGTGCCCTCAGCTTTGGCAGGGCTATGCAGTGGCTGAAGCGGGCTCTGTGTGGGGTACAGCCCAGCCTTAGGATGCTTATTTTAAGATCATACATTAAAAAAAAGAAATAAAATTTCAAGCCCGCTTACCCTACCAGTGTCTTTGCTGCGTCCTGCACTGCTCCCTCGTGCCCTCTGCATTTCGAAGGCCGATGGCATCGCTGCCAACAGGTAAAGCCCATTTCTGGGCTTGCGTTTAGCACCAAAATGCAAAACTTGAAGCCAGCATCGCATGACCCCACCATGGTCTGCCCACGTTAGCGTGGTGGCACGGCCACAACCATGAAGAGGAAGAGCAAAGTGTGAAAACCCACGGGACAAGACACTTTAAGAAGTGAAGAGGAGGGGAAAAAAAAAAAACACCAAAAAACCCCCAGGTGATGCAAATGCAATCACTCACCACCTCCCACAAGCACAGCACAGGAGACCTCTGGAGATCACCCAGAAACACGTCCAGAGGTTCAAACGTCTCCGGAGAAGGAGACTCCACAACCTCTCTGGGCAGCCTGGGCCAGGGCTCTGGTACCCTCACAGTAAAGAAGTTTTTCCATATGTTTAAGTTGATCCTCCTGTGTTCCAGTTTGTGACCACTGCCCCTTGTCCTGTCGCTGGGCACAACCCAGCAGAGTCTGGTCCCACCCTCCTGACCCCCACCATTGACATATCTATAAACATTTATGAGATCCCCTTCAGCCTCATCTCCTCCAGGCTGAACAGCCCCAGCCCTTTCAGCCTTTCCTCTTACGGGAGATGCTCCAGTCCCCCCATCATCTCAGTGGGTCCACACTGGGCTCTCTCCAGTCATTTCTTGTCCTTCTTGAACTGGGGAGCGCAGAATTGGATGAAGTTTTCCAGATGCGGCCTCACCAGGGCAGAGCAGAGGGAAAACCTCAGCAAAGCAGCCCCGGTGCCAGGGCTGGCTGCTTTACAACAGCTCCCAGCAGCAGCGCTCATCAGCGTTCAGCCACGGCACCCCGACGCTCAGCTACAAACAACTGCTGCACAGCTCCAGCACAACTCCCACTCCAGCTAAAAATAAGCTGGGACATGGCAGCACTTTATTTCCTGACCTTCTGGCTTCAGGGGCTCCAGCCTCAACTGTTTCCAAGTCGGGGGAAACACCAGAGTAGTTCTGCTGCTCGTAGGGTGGGAAGGGGGAAGGTAACGCTCAGGTAATTGCAATTAACATTTTGCAGAGCAATGGCAAAACGAGCTGGACTGCCCCAACTGCACTAGGAGGGGTTCCTCCCCCTGGAGCGGGACGCAGGCAGCGCTGTGTAATTGGGCTCACACCTGCGTGAAGGCTTCGTTCCTCTCCTCCTTTTGCAGCACTGCAGAACTCCCGAGGTGTTTTCACTTGGGTTAATCAGAGCTTAAAAACAAACAAAATCAGATATAACAGTGAGGCCGGGCAAAGTCAGGAAGCCAAAGCGGCTCAGTGGTATCCAAGGACTCACCCCCCTGCAGCTCCCTCAGGTTTTTGGGGGCCAGGAGCCCCCCAGCAGCAGCCTCTACACAGAGCCACCCAGGACCGCTGCAGCAGCGGAGCTGAACAGGATTAGCAGCAGTGAGAAGGAAGGAAAATACGCCCAGGCACGGGCATAAAGCAGAGGGAAGGAAGAAAAGAGCAGTCAGAGCCCAACCTCGGGGGAATATTTTGGGCGATCGCGTTACACACAGCCCCATATCCGTAACGCCAGCCCTTTCCTCCGCACGCTGCCCAAGGGGTTTCCATGCGAGATGCACACTCAGGAGACAGCCACCACGTCGGTTCTACTATTATTTATTTTTTTAAATATTTTTGAAAAAATATAATTTTTTTACAATATTTTCAACTTAAACACTATTCACACTGAACACGTATGGCAGCTTAACCTACCCGAGTATGAAGTTTAAGAAGCCAAAACTGTTCTAGCTTTATTAAAAGAAAAAACAAAACCAAAACAAAACAAAAAAAAACAAAAAACCAACCCAAAAGAAAAAGTTGTTGTGCTGTAGACTATTGTGTAGTGATGATTAAACAAAGCAAGGGAAAAGCACCACTCAAATCACTAATGCTAGGGTTTTCTTGGTTAAATCCAGCTATAATAAAGTTGTACGCTAAAAGTTACATAGGCAGTGCTATGTATCCGGGTTCTTGGAAGAAATTGTGATGAAACTCACGTCTCCTTGAGCGCCATTGGGAAGCGAAACGTTTCTACCATGGTAACACACCGCCAAGTACAGGGCATTTCTTCCTGTGGTGTTAGTTCAGGAGCTGAGATCTACGACTCTGTGCAGGTCTGTACGATTTCTGTTAAAGCATGAAGGTTTTTTAAGGGGCAAACGGAACATTAGGAACGCTCCCGGGATCTCAACGGCAAGTCGGCTAATTTGCATCGCGATCAGATCTCCTCGCTTTCGCTTTTAAGTTAAGGCATTATTAGCGGGTGCAAACTAGCACCAGTTAACACATCTCGAGTTAAAAACAGACCGTCCATGGCGAATTCCAAGTCCTGTTTGAAAAGACAGAGTCTGCAGAAGGTTTGGTGAGCGTGGTGCTGTGTCTCAACTTGACTGGTGCTTCTTACCTCACTGCCTCCTTTGCAGAGAGCCAGGGCCCAATTAGGTTTCCATTAAACTTTTGACAGATTTACTTAATAACAGTCTCAGCACTTTTATTGAGCATGCAAGACTAACAAAACTTTGGCAATGCATAAGTGTAACACAGTGACAAGAAGAGAGAGCTTTTACAATTAAATCTTCTAATACTGGCTTCACAGTGTGGAAATTGTGCTACATCCACCAAGCGCGGGCCCAGTCTACTCAAATATTTAAGTACTTCACCCCGGGAACAAACTCCTTTGCGTTTGGATTCAGGTTACTCTTGACCTGAGGAAGGGAAAAAACAGAGTCATTATTTTCATCTTGCATTTCCGAGCTGGTTGCAGTGCCGGTGGACAGCATCAGCATCAGGAGCAGTTGAAGGATTTTGGGGCTTTGCATACACCAAAAAAGTCTCCATAACCACCAGAAAAGCCCGCTCCCCTGTGCCTGTACCTGAATCACCCTCCCTTAGCTCCACCTGGGCCTTTCAGTCAGATAAGGGCTCAGGGAATAAGAAACAGGAAAACCACAGGCATGCACCAAATACGGCAACTTCGATCAGTGCTGACATAGCTTTTCCTGAAGTCGAGCTGTTAAAATGTGCTGTGTTTTCAGATCTTGCTTATTTAAACAAGAGGCGGCTTGTTCCAGGAACTTAAGCCACTTCTGGGAATTTAACATATACGAGCAGTGTACTGATATTTTGCATCTCTGTCTGTGACTGCTCTGTCCTCCCACTTGGCAAGCTGCTGCTCCACAGCGTCCTGCAGCTCCAGGTGGGCAGCCAGCATCTTCAAAATGAGCTCTTTATCAGAAAGACATGGAGGGTTAGGCTTTGGTCGTCTTAACTGAGCCTAAAACTGCTGCCTGCAGCTGCTTACGCTTGGAAAAGTCAGAGTTTGCATCTGAATTTCACAGCAGTAATGCGACATGATGGTGTTTTGTGTGCTATGTATCAGTAACTTTGTATTTTGTTAAGGAAAATACACACACGCTGCCCAGGGAAATACTCAATAGTTTAGCAGCTTTCCTCTTCCTTAGCATTTCTACAAAGAGATCTGCTACGGTTTGCAGGATCCAAAGCAGACCTGAGAGCACGGCTCATACCCACCCAACACAGCAGTGCTGGAAGATGCTGAATTAAACTTTCACAGTCCTGTCACTGAGTGGCACTTCCCAAGGCTGCCGTGCTTCCCTCACTGCCTCTCCTTCAGAACACACTATGAGTGGTTTTGGGTGCACAAAACTATGCCACAGGCTAGGAAAGGCACCGTGTGGTTGTGAAGAAAACACCCCACACCCAACCATCCCACATTTCCCCCTCCACCACAGCCAGGCACAGGTTAAGAGTCCCTGGCCTTCACGGAAAGGATTTTCCTTTGCCATTATCAGCAACAACAATCAGCCTCGGACAAGGAGAGATGTCAAGTTCTAGAAATACGATGGGAAATGGAGTTTACCACCAGATCTTCCAGTGATGAGCTGTCACTGATAACAAGGTCATTGAACTGGTCCTGGATCTGATCCATTGTTTGTGGGAGATCACGGGCTGGAATAAACCACTCGTGCTCCTCCTCCTCTTCCAGCATCTCCTGGAAACAGCGCTCGATGAATTCTTCTTCCCACAACTCCTCTTCGATCTGTGCAACGAGAAGAAACGGCGTCATCAACAAACTTACTGAGAGCCTGTGTCTTCCTCCTGAGGTTTGAACACCTACCTGACATTCTTTCTAGCGAGGCAACAGCACTTGTAGCAGAACACCACGCTTGTGCTGCAGGACAGCAAGCAGCTTTGATTTTTTAACACAGAGAAGTGCCAGGCCCTTGGGCTGCAGTTAAAAGGGGATGGCAGGAGAACCCCCCAGCCCTGGCTGTTCAGTTTGCAGCTTGTTAGGAGCTCAAGGAGGAAAATGTTGGTTCCCAGTGAAGATTTCAGTTGTATCAACTAGTTTGGACCAAACTGCAAGTATGAGGAAGGGAACCAGGGACAACACACGCAGCCAGGCACTTCCCTGGGAAAGTGTCCTGCGAGATTCTTGGGGATAAAACCATAACCAGTGCCTGTCACCTGGGACCAGCTGCGTCTCCTCAGCTGCAGATGATGAGCTCACCCCATGCAGTTCTGTAACGAGCCCCAGATGGTCTCAGCAGTTGTTAGGAATGCTGACCTGCACCACAAGCAGGACAAAGCAACCGGCGCAGAACTGACAGGAGCTGCAAGGATTAAAGGAAAGCGTTGCCTGGTTGTTCAGTAAACAAGCTTTGGAGGGACTTCATCCCAACAAATTTTCCATGCCCCCTGCACACTTAAAGAGTGGAAAGCAGGGAAACAGAAGCTGGTGGGAATGACTTGCACAAGGGAGCAGAAAAATGATTCAGGGCAGATCTAAAGCGTACTCGAGAGAAGCTCAAACAAGCTTTCCTGTCTATCCTTCACTCTGAAATCAAACACAAACACAGATCCAAAAGTGGAAACTCAGTTACATACCACAAATACCAAATCAACAAGTTAACAGCAGAGTTAACAGATTCCTGTACAATCCAGGTCCTCTGTGCCCTGGGCAAACACGCCCCCCAGCTGGCCTGGTGCTCAAGAGACTCAGCTTTTGGGGAACAGGGACACCACCACATGCTCTAAGTCACTGCCCAGACAATTCAAACCCCACAGAAAACACCAATTTAGTAAAGCACCCAGCAAGGACAGGGGTCTCCAGTCAATCTGTGTCGTGAGGCTGCAGGTAAAGGGCAGCCGTGGGCACAAAGCCACAAGCTGAAATTGCAGCAGGGCTCGCCCAGCTCCAGGTTTGTTGTGATGTGGTGGTACACTTACAGCTCCAGAGGTACTAAATAACATTTAATTCCCCAAATGTCTTGAAATTACTGTTGCCTGCTTGCATTTTCTAGCCCAGGTTTAACTTGTTCAGGCTCCCACAGGGATGTGCCTGCGCATGGAGTTTGCCTACCCAAATAAGGCCACTCTCCCCTCATGCTCCTACCTCTCCTCCTCTCTGAAAATGGAGCCTGCAGCTTAAAAACAGTTTAATCACAGCACAACTTGCAGCTCCTCACCCCAGAACTACACATCCCATATGCTACCTACAGTATAGTCCCCAGGAGGCAAAACCCACCAAACAGGAAGCACCACCGAGACCATCCTGGCGTACACACAAGAGAATTTACTTCGTGAGCAACCTGAATTTCAGATGAGCTTTGTGCCCTGCTGGCAGCAGCCGTATCCTGTTGCAGAAGCTCAGGCCAGCACAGTGTGGAAGACAGAGAAAGCAGCAACTTGAGTACAAAGATCACGTTTTGATTAAGAAAGGGGTGGTGGAAAGAGGCGGGGCTGTTCCCAGCCTCCACAGGAGGAAAAAACCACATCCAGGTGCAAGATGAAGTTCAGGCTCCCTTCCACCCTGACTGCGAGCGCCAGCGGGAAGACACCGAAGCATTAAGCAACGAAGACGACTGTCCCCAACAGCTATGCCCAGCACCTCCCTCACCACACCAGCCCTGCTGTTCCAGCTCACAACTACCACGTCCTGCATGTCTGCACATGTAAAACCTCTGCAGCTCACAGCCTAGCAAGGCCTGGCCCTTCCAAAGGGCCACGTAAAGTCTGTCTGCTATTATTTTCTGTCTCTCTCGGAGAAGCAGGCAATTAACGGATGGATCAGAACATGCCACACTTCCCATGTTTTCCACCAAGCTTACAGAAAACAAGTATTTATTGCCACGGAAACAGATCTGTCTGTTCCCCAGAATTAGTCTAGCAAGTCTAAAAAGCCCATCTCCAAAGAGTCCCCAGTCTTGTACCCCAGCTGCTGAGACACAGCGCCTCTCCCTTCAGCATCACAAGACATCTATCGAGGGAGATGACTTGCCTGCCTGTTAAATTCCTCTTCGTTTTCCATCCACATGTACTCCGCAAAGGGATTGTCGTCTTCGTGGGAATGACCATTTATAATCACATCTTCACTGATGATGCTCGGGCTGGTACTGCTGCGACTTGGGTCTTTCATGGCTGCGTCTTCGATTTGAAATCTGCAATTAAGAAAGGCACTCATTAAAGGTGTGCAGATTCGCTCATCGCCCTGCCTCTGCATAAAGCCCGGCCAAGGGAAGGCTGCAGCTGAAGGCTCCACGTGGATCTCTCCCAGAGCAGAGCTGGCACAGGGGTGCTCACAGCCACCTCGAGACGCTCCAGGTCTTTTCAGACACAGGTACTGGCAGCGTTAATTAACAGTGTACAAAGCACGTGAGGCAACGAGCTCGCAAAAATAATCAACGCTTGTTGATTATTCTGGTGCCAAAAATTTGCAACCAAACAATGCAGCAGGGAGTGAAAATACTTTGATTTTGATCTCAAATCAACATTTTAGCTGCATATCAAAAGTTACAGATTTTGAGAAGAGGCTATCAGAAAACAGCCTTCACTGTTAGAGTACAAGGGTTTATCACTTCTTTATATTTCAGTCGGTCTGATTATCGGCGGAATTAATGCAAGTTTTGGTTCAAAATGTGTTCTTGATAACACCAGGTCAAAGCTCACCGCATCCAAACGCCCAATTAAGAAAAGCACAAAGCAAAAGGAACGTGCCTGCCTGGCTCTGGTCGAGGTTTTCAAACCAAAGGCAAACCCAGGCCCAGAAGTCCCTTCAGCTCCCTTGAAGTGCAACAAATGGGGCCACAACCCGGGTGTTCTACCCAGGGAAAATGGGGGCTTTTCCATGTCCTTCCCAAGCAAGCTCGCAAAGGATCACTGGCAGCACTCAACATCAAACAGGAAGACACTGCATTTAGCACCCCAATCCAAGCTTGGAGTTGCTTTAAGCAACTTCATCTGTTCACAAGCTGAGAAACAGGAGGGACTGAAAGAAATAAAAGGCCTAAGAGTCTAAACCCCCTAATTTCTTCCTGGTTTTTCCCCCCCCAGAAAGTGTTTTCACCTGTTTTTGTATTAATATTCCACTGGGCTTCCTGCACACCAACGACTTCCACTACAGGCAAATAACTGCGCCAGCAGCGTGAGGCACTGGGGCTGAATTCCAGGCAACTTCTGTACAAAGACGACTGCACCCAGGCAAGTCCACAGAGGTGAAAAACAACAACTAAAACAGAATCACACAGAATCACAGAATCGCTCGGTTGGAAAAGCCCTCTGAGATCATCACGTCCAACTGTTCCTGTCTACCCCCTAAACCATATCCCTAAGTACCTCATCTACCCGCTCTTTAAATACATCCAGGGATGGTGACTCCACCACCTCCCTGGGCAGCCTGTTCCAGCTTCTGACAACCAAAAGCTCGAAAGGTTAATTTGTTGAATCACAGGACAGTTTTCCAACGTGCTCAATGTTCCCACAGAACCCAGCCCGTTTGCTTTAGCAGGGAGGGAAGCACCGTGTTTCATGCCTGGACCGAAACAACTTTTTCCACTGCTGCCCAAGGACGCGGGGGGCGATCACCTTCACCACCTTCAAGAACGATAGCCAGGCTCAACCTGAACATCTGAAGTTTATCTGACGAAGCCCCAAGTCTGCTCACGTTTTCCCCACAGGAAAACACGTCAGCGCACGCTGACCCTGCGCCAACAGCTGGGGAGCCCCAGGCCGGGCCCTCGCAGTGCTCTCTGTAATTTGATTTTCTGCAGCTTGTAATAAAACAAGACTGCAAAGGGAGCTTTCCATTTTACCACATCAAGCCACAAACCGGTTGGCTTTGTGTGCTCACTGCGAGGACAGGATTAGTCTCGTTTCACCGGTATTAAACGCAGGCTTTTTAGCGATGAGCTACAAGCAACTGAGAGGAAGAGAGCCAAATGCCACTTCAGACTTGTAAAAAGTCACCATCTAAGGCGGCTGCTGCAAAAAATAAAGGCACAGTGACAGGCTCCACTACTGCTGTGAATAAAAATAATGCCTTTTCCATCTGGGAGGAGGTGGAGCTCAAAGCTCCTTACGCTGGGACAGGAAATTAGGAAATCAGCAGCGCTAAAGAACAGAAAACACAGAGAATTCTGCCCCAGTGATACGACTGCAGATCCAGCCTCAAGCATTTTGGGGTTGTGGTGGGGGGTGATGCAGGAAGAACAGTGTAAGTGCACAAGGAAAGAGCCTAAGAAGCAGGATTTTTACCTTAGGAATGAACTAATAAATTAAAAATCCTGTACCAACAGGACTTTCCGTTCACTCCAAGTGTTTTCTGTATGAAGCGTGGACCTCGTTACTCCAGCACATCATTAAGGTTTGTTAACTCACCCGTTTCTCTGAATTCTGCCGCATTTAGAGCGACAAAGAGCCCCAGACAAACCACCATTAAAACGCAACGCTTTGTGACTGGAGATTTCGCATTTAAACCCCAGTCACAAAAGAAGATTATCTACCGACTACTTCAGGAGATAAGGTCAACTGGGCCTAATTCCACACAACAAAACCCAGGTCCTTACCCTTGATAACAAAAAAAAAATTACAGGAAAGAAAGCTATTTGCTTCAAGCACACAAAAGCAACACAGAAACCAGCACATTAATATTTCAGCAGCAGCTGAAGCTTAAGCAAAGCTGTTTGAGTGCAGCAGGGACTGCTGTGAACCTCCGCAGAAGATGGGGCTATTTCTCTGTTTATTAACTAGCGATTACTCTTGCGAGCCAGGAGCACCGGCCAAGTTTCTCGTTATCTAATTACACCGGCAAGCGGTGGTTATCAAGCGAACTGATTATACTCCGCACAACAAACAGATTTCTTCATCAAATTCACACGGGATGCCGATGCTATCTGACACAAACACCTCCGAGCGCGGCAGCGGAGTTAACCCGCAAACAGCCGCCCCATCCGCATCGCACACCAGCAC